GGCTATATGTAGTCTATTTCCAAGATGCTAGATTCAAACTGCATGGTCTCCAAAGCATTAAAAAAAATGCAGTATCTAAAGTGCCGCTGATAAAACTGAAGATGGATTTTTTTAAAGGACAGACTGGTGGTCTAGTTGGTGATTGCAAACCACCGTGAGCATTCACTAGTCAATAATTCAGACCCAGTGACGCGAGGAAGTCTCGAGGCGGCAAAGATTAGGCATAGAGACGCGGTAAGCAGCCCTTCAATCTGTCTATTGGAAAAGGAAATGCTATTTTTGTCGCGTCAGCTGGTCGTGTGATTATTGGGTCGATCGCCTTGTGTGCTCCTTACGCATCCCCTCCCCCTCACCCCCTTCTCTTTTTTTTTTATCTTGTTTGTGATCACCTGCAATAAACACAGAGTTGTCAATTTAGTGCTGTGTCCCATCTTGCAGCTATCGTTCGTGAGAATTTTTGAGCTACTAATCCGGGAGAGATTTCTAGCATGCCGTGCTAATAGTGGTAAAAATACCTGCCAGAGTAGTAGCCCGTAATGATGCTTACTTTACTGTAGCTTAGATGTGATAGATTTGCTTTTTGATCAAACAGAATTTATCATTACATATTTTTTATTAAAAAAAAATGATGGGCCAAGTGCCTGGCACTTACAATGAAAATTCACACGTCTTTTGCGTTAAAGGGTGCATTAAAGAATGAGCTCAGCACTATAGGCATCAGATTCGACATGGCTCAGCACAAAATTTGCCACTTTATGAGCTTCTCAGAGCAGGGGGGGAAAAGAAAAACTCGGACGCTTGAGCTCAAAGTTTCATAGAAAACGATAGCGCAATCGGGCTGCTGTGCATAGCCTTCCCAGTTGCTCGCCAGTTCTTGGTGCACGCCTCAACTGTGACACCAGGAAATAAAAGACTGTGCATGTAAACATTGACTGTTTCAAACTGTGGTAGAATGCCTACTACAAGTACTATTGCGAGGTGCCTGCAATAGTACCTTAAGTACCACAATAGTAATTTAGTACCTTAATTGTTCCTTTTGCAAATCAGTGTCCGTAAGGCACCAGGCGAACTAGTGCGGCTGCTCATTCTACTGATGATTTCGGAGGTGATTAAATATGTTAAAGCTCTTTTCAATGGGTAAGCCTTTACAACACCTACTCGTCGCACAATTTGTATATTTTGACACCTGGCGCGATTCTATGCTGGTGCCAAGCAATATTACATGCAATAAAAACAATTTCCGCTACAGGGCACGCATTCATATAGCGTTTTTTTTTTTTCCTTTTCCTCCCAGAAGCAGTTTTAAGCAGTGGTGAGCCTCTGTTATAGAACGCTTAATTGCAGTGCAAATGGCCTGGGTTTGATTCTCGCTTGAACATAAAATTTTTGAGATTTGTTTTATTCGCACTCTTGGAGCTTTAGCCATGGTCACGATGATGACCTTTCACTCACAAATAACGACACCGCAACTTCTGCAAGAAGGCCTCTGTAGTACTGTCGTGTCCAAAACAAAAGGGGAGGGGGGGTCCCAAAAGCTGATGCCTGCATCACAGGACACACAATGTGTGCTGACAAAAAAGAATATCTGTCCTTTATTTTATTTTTTGTTCCTGTAGCAAAGGTACGTGAGTACAAGGACTTAGTTTCAGGAAGTAAAAACAAACGAAAGTAAAACAAATCAAAAGCTGTGTCAACAGTCTTCCACAAAGTGCTGACCTCAACAGGAAGATATGTCTCTCTGTGATGCGAACAGGAAAATATGTCTCTCTGCAATACACACTCAGCATCTCGTCTGTCACCTGTGAAACACTTGGCCGACTGGCTGGGCAAGTGCCTGGGGCAGGGTGCCCCTCTAAAGCTGAGCCAGAAAACACCACCCCCAGACAAGTTGCAGATAACAGGACTTTTTGTGAAGCTGCTATATCTCCTCATCTTCAGTTGTAAAAAGCCTTCAGTTGTGAAAAGCAGCTCGTTTTTTTCATAACTAGAAACAAAAAAAAAATGCCGCTTGCAGTACAATCAAGTGAAATCAATGAAATTGAAAAGAGATATTTGAAAGAGTGGGGTTTGGACTCGCCACATGGCAGTTTTGATGTTGCTATCAATTACTAAGCGTGTGTCACATGCGTTATAATTGAGTAAACATGAAAAAGCACGGAGTAGGCACTAAATGGTTACTCTCACTTTCTGGTAATTACTTGTGAACTGCCCACAACTAGGAAAAAGACAAGACGGTGTCTCTCACTTTCTAGTAATTACTTGTGAACTGCCCACAACTAGGAAAAGGACAAGACGACACACAAAGCAGATTGATCGGTTTTGTACATACGCTTTCGATATGTGTTTTCTCTAATTGTGCACAGTCCAGAATAGGTAATTAAGATAGTTACTGCAATCTATGCACCGACTAGTACTGACATTCCAGCTTTCACTGAGTGCTGCACCAAACTACCTCGGTAGTACAACAATATGCATGCCATTACGAAAATAAATCAAGTTCGTCTCCTACCAATAAGTTCCTAGGCAAGATATCCACCCAGTAAATACCGAAACTGACTGAACAGTAATAAGGATAAGTGGGGGTTGACTCCTGCTCTACCAATCTCAAGATGACTCGGGCAACGACACATGCACTAGCCCTGCCAATCTCGAGTGCAATCGTTTTGCTTCTTTAAATCACTCCCTATCACTCTTGTCAAAAGAATATAATGCAGGTGTGCCGCGTTGCCTATGGAAATAACATATAAACAAAAATAACTTGTGGTAAAATTTTTTACAAAAGAGAAACTGCATGCTTGAACATCTGCGTCGCCTCAGGTCTCTCTCCATCGGCAGCATGGCGAGTCTGCGTTTCATGCGCCAGTGCTATTTGACGAGAGAAAATCGGGAACTCTTGACTAACTTAGACCCTGAATGGCATAAATAACATTGTAATGGCTCTGAATTATTAGGTAACTATTTACAGAAAAAAAAAACATTACTTCATTAAGCTGTCCTGTGTTACCCCCAGTGTGTGTTCTTCAATCATAAATCACAGCCAACTAGCTTAACTTAGTTTCTGTCGTTTTAAACTATGAATGGTAACTGCTACCCCTGTTTACAATTCCCTAAAGCTAGAAAGTGATAGCAATAATTTTTTTCACTCATTCAAGAGCACATATATGGTCGTGGGCGTATGGGCTTGATGCAGGACCAAGAGTTAGAGAAATATAAAGAAAAAAAATATTAAAAAAAAAAGAACTGCAGTAGGCAATCGAGCACAGTTGCAAGTAGGAATTGGGCGATGCGCTAAAATGCGCGTGGCCGATTGGTCGCTTCCAGCATCAGCCGAGTCAGAAGCGCGCGGAGTGGCGCGGTACAAAGGTCAGCTGGGGGGAGTGGGCCTCGATCGTAAAAAGAAGCTATAAGCGCAAGACAAAGAAAAAAAAGAATAAAAACGCTGGTTGCGTGGTAGAAGGACGCAACACGCGGGCAATTAAAACGGACACTTGCGTGCTCACTGAGAAATAAACAAAAATAACTGAAAAAAGAGGTTCGGCACAGCAATTCAATGGACGCTTGCGCGACGCGGGCAACTGCCTACAGCCGTTATACGTTCGTAGAAACTTCGAGAGTGCGCGCAGAGTATAGTTGCATGCAGCGAGCCGATCGCTATTGAAAGGTGTGCGCCTGCGGTCATCGCGCGTGGTGGCAAAAAAAAAAAAAAAAATAAGTGCACGCAATTACAAGCCGCGAATAGCACGAGCAAAGCCGCAGGTAGGTGCAGAGCACGACCTTGAAAACCAGACAAATAACGTAAGAACTAAAAATAAAGGCTACACAGTGGTGTATAAGTAAGTGCACGACCGGTAATTACGGCACGTTCCCGAGAGGCGGCCCAAAATGACCCGAAATGTGCCCGACTGACACGCTAAGCGGGTCGATGATTTCAGTGTTACGAAAGGACATCACTCGCGCGATGCAACGAGTTGGATGTAGAGCCGCACGGCTGACTGAAATGAACCAAGTAAAAACTAATAGTAATATAAACATGCGCCTACAAAGAGGCAAGAAAGCACCGCAAATGCGGGTACCCTGGCAACCACGGAGCAACGCCACGATTCGTCCGTAAAAGAACAGCTGAGCGCAGTTCAGCGAATTGCCGAAACGATAAGCAAATGCGTGCACGGTTTTTTCGTACGGAATTCGCGGGAGGGCCCGAGCAAGTGTTTCAGGCTTTCCAAAAAAAATTCGTTCGGCGCAACGCGCGCAGTTTGTGGGCATTCGTAAGGGGTGTTCTTTAGGAGGAGGAGAGAGCGCGAATGTGCCGCTACACTGCTGATCGCTGCAATGCGGAGAAAAATTGAGTAGACGCGCGCGTGCCTCACTTTTCACTACTGGCGATGCGCTGTTTTTAACGTTAGGCACATGAATACACGAACACGTTCACACGAAAAAATAGAAAAAATCTGAAAGTGTACATATTTCCCACGTGCATTCCGCTGGCGTATTTTTCCGCTCGGCCCATTCACACGTCGCCGGGGTGTTTCTTTTTCCGAAGCGCGCGCCAGGCTCCGATATCCGAAACCCACCAGCTAGCCGCGCCGCACGAATTAAAACAAACGCCGTGCAGACACAGGATGCGGCGTCTCGGATGACGCCACCTTCTCGAAGTCCTCCGATGCCGAAGGACGGCAGGGATTCGCACGACTCTGGTGCAGTGAACGTCCCTTTCTATCAGGCTATTCGCCAATTATAAACTGGCTACGATGCGCAAAGATTGGCCATAGCTGCGACCGCGCAATTAAGAGCAAAAAAACGACGCCTCAGGGCGTGATTGAACGACAGTACGGCGTCAACAAACATTCAAATGAAGAGCTTAAAAACGAAACAGAGAATTAAAAAAAAAAGAAAGTGACCGCGATCAGCTGCTGCAGGGAACCGATCATCATGGGCAGTCGCGGAGAAAAAAGAAAGAACAAAAGCAGCGACGATGTGAAGATAAACAGGGCGTCGCTCACCTCATACTTCGTCTCTCAGCTGATCATGAAGACGACAAAAGTTTCGTGGCGTCGTTTTCAAACAGAAACTGAGGGAAATCACAACGAAGAAAAACTAAAAAGAGACAACACAAGCGACGCACACCTTCGCTGTCTCGTCGGGCGCTCTAAAAGCAAGCTGGCCAGCAACACACCACAAACGTCAGGGGCACCTGGTGACAAGAATGGGTAGGAACAATGTACACATCAATTGTATGCCGAGGCTAATGACTTTAGAGCAAGTATTGCATTCCACTTAACTACTACTGAAAAGCCAGTGATTGTGGAATGCATTATATCTGTGAAAGCTCGAGTACACTTGTTACGCTAATTGCAAACAGCAGGTGGCGGAGAGCGTAGGCATAAGATGGCGCCGCGCGCCAATACCGTTTTCAACTTTTATCCGTAAACCACGCGAACTAGTGAAACTTGGCATGACAGTTTGTGATATTGTCAACATACCGCCATGGATTCATCCAGCCGACAATCAGAGGTATTCGAGCTCTGTCTCGGCGTTCGTTGCTATTGTTTTTCCGCGTTCTGCCATTCACAACTGTGCCGCTTTTTTGCCGGTTGATTGATCGATTGATATGTGGGGTTTAACGTCGCAAAAGCGGCTTATTGCCCGGTAAACGTTTGGCTCTAATGAAACTTAATTTTTCTTATGACGTTCCATTCAGATCCTGGAACAACTGGACAAGATTCGCAGGGAGCTTGCCAGAAAAGAACGCAAGTTGCAGGTCAGTTATTTTTCTGCCGTGTTCTTTCGAGTTTTTAACCGCAGACTTCCGCTAAAATGATTGATGACGTGCGCTCATGCATTTTCCTTTTTTTTTTTGCGTTGCAAACAGAAACTGAAGCGGCTCTCTGCTCAGAAGAGGAGTTGCGACAGCTCCGAAAGCAGCTCTGTGATCGACGTCGAAGAAACTCGTTCGACGGTTTCGCTCGACCTCCGTTCACCCTTGCGCCCGATTGAAGCGACGCTTTCGCAGAGTGAAATTTGCCATTCAAAACCTCTCCGAACGACCGATCCGCACGAAAGATCCATTCTCTTACGGGGAGCGAACAGTGACGCGTTGGAAGCGGACGAAAATGTCTATGGACTCCATTCTTCCTTCGATACGACGCGAGCTGGAATCGGCGAATCGGCTTGTGATGCCCGGCGGGTTGAAGTGCAGCTATCTCGTGGATCGGCCTGTGGAAGAGCGCCACCGTCAGACGCGAGTCTTGGACCATCGAAGCCTGAACAACAGAAACCACCGTCCAGTGATGAGTGTCGACTTACCAACGAAAGGTCGCCTGCCGGAACTATCCCTGACACGCCATTAAAAATCGACTCGCGCTTATCGTTACATCTCGTGAGCCCTGCTAACAGTGCGAATGTGGCAACCGCAGGAGCAAGGCTAGTTCCTGTATCTTCAGAGTGCGGTCCTGTCGGAAAGGAATTGGATTCTGCAACCAGTGTGAACTTCTGTAAAAGTCGAGACGTGAGAGTGCTTAACACGACTGGCATTTGTTCTCCTGCTGTTAGGCATAGGGTTTCGCAAGATGAAAGTACACTGCTTGGAAACGTATCGGTGCAACAAGTTGAAAAAGAGAGCAAGTGCACTGTGAAATCACTTCTCAGCAGTGTTAGAGGTAAAGAAAGCTCAGAAGAGACCTTTGAGGCTTTTGCCTATGAACGCACAAACAACGTATCATACAGTGAAAAACGATTCAACGTTCAGAGTGACGTCCATCTCATGCCCACCTTGGATGGTGAGAGCTCGAACGACAACAAGAATGTGCACAACTCTCAGATGGAGATGTTTGTAGAGCATGAAGAACACATGGAAAGCCGAGACACTGAGTGCAGTATGAGCAGCTGGGACGAAGCCACAGAAGGGTCCACGTTGGAGAGCAGCGAAATGACAGAGCCTCCGTGGCAAGCGACTGAAACGTCGTGTTCAACCAGTTCCAAGTCATGGTCTCCCGCACACAAGCGGAGACGTACTACTTGTGAGGTTACCGCACCGTCTGGTCCAGCAGACTCAAAGTGCTACAATTTCAGAAAGCGAAATCTTTCTTACAGCCCTCTTGTTAGGAGACGGATGAGCAGGGAAGCCAAGAGCATCCTAGGCACTTTCCAGAAGCTCATTCAACATGCGCACGAGCTTCCCATCTCCACCTTTGAGCGGTCATTTGAGGAGCTTGGCTTGCATCCACAGCAGGAGAGGAAAAGTGTGTCCAATAGTGAAAAGAATGTAAAAATATCCAGAACATCCTCTTGTGGCATTCTGTCTCCAGAAAAGTGTCATGACGAAACCGAAATTGAGGTTAAGGAGAGCACAAAGGATGACAAATCCTTGGTGCTTGAGACAGCAAACACTTCCAGATGTTTAGAATCGTTTTGCGCAGCCCTGTCACTCTTGCCAAGAAAGAAAACAGAAGCAATGCCAAATGCAACGAACTGCGAAAAACGGAAGGCATGCACCAGTCAATGCCAAAGGAGAGAGTCTTCTCTTTCGGCGAGCTGTGCTTGTCGAGTTAGTGACGTGCAGCAGTCTATCATATCCTCCACTGCAACCAGGAACCACTTTTCGAGTGTAAAGGAAATTTCGTCGTCTCCTCTTGTGCATAGTGTCTGCAACGCAGCCAACAGCTACTGTGATGCAGCCGTTGACACTGTGCAAGAAGAATCTTTGTATGTTTGTGGGCACGCATCACCTGAAGCGGAACTGACGACAGGGGCTGAGCTCACAGACAATCAAGCTGAAGTGGTCCCTCGTTTCGGCAAACACGGTGAAAGAACCGAGCTGTCAGGGCCGTTGAGGATTGTTTGTGAAGTTGGCGATTCTTGCGAGGAGGTTGAACGAAGTGCCATCTGTGTGCATGTTAATCGAGAGCCTTCGGACCATTGTACAAATACAGCTACCAGCTCCTGTGAGATTATGGCTGTTACAGTTCAGTCGAAAGCTGGTGCAGAGGTTCGCTTGCAGGACAACGGTGTGTGTGGTAACTTGCTTACTGAACGGCAGGAGCCAGGTGACCCTGTGCAGGTTACACGCATCCAGAATAGCGATACGATTACCAAGCAAGTTTCTCCTGCTTTAGCTCATGTAGGTTGTGGAAAGCACAATCGTTCATCGCAGGAATGCTACACGAATGTGCCCCAAAAAGAAAACTCTAGTTGCATGGTGTTGTCCACGGAGGGGGACGCTTGTATCCAAATTGACAGACAGGATTCAGAGTGTGACAACGGTGATGGTGTGTTTGAAGCAGCTTGTCTGGATAACAGCGACCTGTTCACTCAGAGTGAGGAAAGTGACGGCACTACTGGTGGGATCAACGAGTTTGTTGCCACCATTGTAGAGCAGCTTGATCCGCACATCTTTAGTGCTGCGGACCGTGGGCCTACTGATGAGCCACAGGGCAGCCTGAGTGGCAGCACAACTGCTGGTAAGCTCTTTGACTTCATGAAACTGCTACTTGTGCATTTTTATTACAGGTCTTTAATATATGCATTAAGGACAGCTCTAGACTGGGCGAGTTGGTAGCATTGGTGATCTTAAGGATGGTGACGAACTTCATAGAACAAAATGATGCAAGAAGCTCCAGGCTTAGTCTATTGTTATGGGCATTTCTTTCATACCGTGCCAGTTCTGTGTGCCACATGAGTTGAGGAGTATACACAGAAGACACAAGATCGGTCTAACTGGATTGATTGGTCATATACAGGTTTTGTTCAACAGAGTCCAATGCTAAGATGATGATGATTTCATGGAGGGTTATGATTAATTGTGTATAACATTGAATTCGTGCCCCAGTGAGCGTTTTGATGACACAGTGAAAGGTAGGAAGTAGTACCCAGTGTGTCCGTGTTTGCACACTTTTTAACATAGATATGTACCATCTAGCACAGCCCTCTTATTCTAAGGGCCTAATAAGTTTGTCAAGTGCCATATACCATTGCCAATGTACTAAATATAGGCTTTATGAAGGAGGCATAGTAGGACATTCTGCCTGAAAGTGGGACTCACTTTGGAGTGAGTACTTGCGGAGTTCTCTTTGGTGGTTCTTCGTCACTCGGCACTCAGATGCAATGCAGGTTTGCTTGCTGCCACTTGAGCTGTATACCACTCAGGTTTGCTGTGCCCAAGACCTGGGCAAGCTCTTTAATGGCAAAGAACTCCTTAAATGTGAAACTCACTAATTCACTTGGGGCACTTGAAACTTACAGATCTGACATAAGGTGGCATAGGTACGTTGAAGCTGCTTCCTCACTGAAGTGTAAAAAAAATGTGCTTCAGAATTTAGGCCTTAGTCGATAAATTTCGTTCACCGTTCATGTATGTTGCATCAGCATATCTCCAAACAGAGATGACACAATGTGCTGTATTTCTTGAACCTATAAAATCTTCAATTTTTGTGTGTGAGCTAGCTGTTTGGCAAATTATATAAAGGGAAGTATTGTCGAGGAAAGTTTCAAAAAGAGTAGAGCTAGTGTTCTAGGCATTAAAGGCTTGCTGGGTGCACTGTATGTAGACTGTCTTATGATGTTGCCCAATGGAGCGCTAAACATAATAATGTTTAGCATGTTTAATAAATTTTGTATTTTCAATAAATGCACAAGTGTGGTTTTTGCAAAACAAAGAAAGGTGTAATTAAACTTCATGCCTGCATACTACATTGTTTCCATTGCAGACGATTTAAACCTCCTGGAAAGTCAAGCGCAATCGCTAGTTGAAGCACGAGAGCACCCGTCACCATCGCGCGGGCAACGAGGTCTGCTTACAGAAGCCACAACAAAAAGATTCAAAACAAAAGAGGAAAGTCCCGGCAGTCTGACAGACAAACTGCAGAATGCTGTTCTCCCATCTCCATCACGCACTTTTGACAAGGCATCGGACCATCCTTTATGCGTTGCAGTGCTTGCTTCTAGGACGGGCGCTTCAAAGCCTGGCCTCCTTGATGGGAGTGAAATGGATGGTGGCGCCGGAACTGCGGATGTGCGTTCATTTCATCGCGCACCTTCTGTGCCTGCAGCGGGAGCAACAAGGACAGAAGAGTTGAGCATGCCTCACATGTCCGGTACTGTTTTTGAATGCGATGCTAAGAACCTCTTCACCGACTCCTCAGTTGGCAACAAGGCCTCAGTGGCAAACTCGGACTTGCCGGAGCTTTTGGATCCACATGAACTGGAAGGCATGTTCGACGAGTGGTCGGAAGGTGTTGACTGTGTTCCCAGAACCTTGAATGCGAGAGATGCGCGGGACTGTGGAAACACCAGTTGTACTCCTGGCGCGCACAAAGAATGTCAGGCTATTGACGTGCCAGCAGCTGCTGGCAACGGAATAAGAAGCAGCGCAGACCACGCGTCGGTCCCGATTACGCACGGAGAACTCAACAGGGGTTGATGCTGTGGATGTGTTGTCGCAGAGTTTGCAAAGGCATCACTTGGACTCACCATGCGACACTGATGTGGAAGACGCCAACTACGAAAACTACAGCCAAGGAGCAGAGGTTGCGCAGAAAGTGGAGTGTGGCTCCTCAGACTCTACATTGAGGAGTAGCATCGAGGTGGAAAGAAAGTTGCCGTCGGAAGACCAGTGCTCTCAGTACTGCCTCAAGCTCTCTTGAAGCTCTTTCAGCCATGTCAAGGTTTTCAGACGAAGTGGAAGAAAAAGATGCGGTGCCACATCCCGACGGGGATGAGCAACTTGGCTGCGAGGAGGACCTGGACTCACCCGAGCTATCTGGTGGCACGTGTGATGGCTTGGCTGAGGACGACCATGACGGAGCTGGATGGGACAACCAGGAGGACGAATACGAAGAACTGTGCCAGGGCACTGCTCGTCCCTGTGGGTCCTTGCTTGGCACAGGCAAACCACTTCTGTTGTTTTGTGCACTGAAGGTACGTAGTGTTTGCTCAATTTGATACTTGCGTAAACAAACATACAAACACATGTGCGTAAACACTCAAGGCAGCAAAAAGTGGGAAACTCAGTCATCTCTTATCTTTTGTTGTGGTAAAGTGCATAAGGGCTGTATTTCCTTTTTTTTTTTTTTTGTAATGCTGTGACGATGTTACTCTTGCACAGAGTTATCTATTGCAATAAGTTGTTCCAGCTGTATGTAACAGATAATGCCCACTAGTGTTTTCATATTCCACCTACTTTTTTTGTTTGCATAAGCAGGTTATGCATCTGTCGACTGGCAGTACTCCGCCACCATCACTGTTTCCATTTCCCAAACTTTTCAACACTGGTAGATGCTTAGAAAAACACACACACATGCAGATGTCATCGCATGTCATTTTGTGCAAGGTATTCTGGAGAACGGCAATTTGGGTGGCCTAGGGGAGGATTCTTTTTCAACTGTGAAAGAGATTAGCTGTAAAATATGCTGCGCCAGGCCATGCACTACCGTAAACCAATACCCTGCCACAGATACAGGCCTGCTGTGCAGCTCATAGTGTAAGGACGAATGTTTAAAGGGCCTGTAAACCACCCAGAGGTTAAAATTCAGTTGTTGTGGGGAAATTGTGCACGAGTGTATGACGGACACCGAGCGCCCTTCCCAATCTCGCGTGGCATACGTCATCGCTGACACGCTGCTGAAACACCGTCTACTTCCGGTTGCCGCGTCTCCAACCGCCGACTCCGTCAGTTGCGTGTTTGTTGGCGAACCGTGACTGCCGTAATCGTGCCTTTATGGAACCTGCGTTGCGCACATGCCTTAGAAAGATTGCCAATGCGATGGACTCGTGGGGGAACACGCCGTGCCCCGCACGTGTTACACGCACGCAGGCAACGCGACGAACAACAAGCAGCACAGACAGCTGCTTGCAGACAGACTGGAAGTCGTAGGCTCTTGCTCGACAGCATTTTGGCTCGGCGCACCAGAGATGTGGCACGTCACGCGGAGGCCTGAAAGGAGGAGGGGTTGTTTTTTGGACTTTCTGGTGCGCCGGCGGCTCGTAGCGCTGCCACGTGCAGAATCGTTCATCGTGATGGCATTCTGCACACGATGCGGGCGTTTACTTGAAATGCTTGAAAAGTATTGGAGGTGGTTTACAGGCTCTTTAAGGTGCACTGCACGGAGCACAAACTTTGACAAAACAGTCTCCTCGCAATTGTGCCCAGCGAAGTCAGTTGTAGCCATGCGTGCACAGTGTGCATATTGCCACACCTGTTTCTTTCTTTATGTTTATGTATTCAAGTTTCACCCACACAAGCTGTCAGCAACGCTCGTCACAATGTTTGGGAAGCTTCATGATTGTCTCAGTGAAGGACGAGAATAGTCAAGTCAATTCGAGAGCTCTCGCAAGTGCCAGCACTAACGCCTAGAACTTATGATTCTGCAGCTGTAAATGCTGACGCGCCTTACCGCAAATCAGACTACTCAATGGCAGACAGCTGTTCTCATCGTTATCAGTTTAAAGTGTGAAACACTTGTACATTAACTTTTTTTTGGTGGGCACAGGTTCAATGAAATAAAGCATTCGGCATTTTACTGTGTTCTTTAAGCCTTCTTCACTGTCGGGACCACATGACAATGTACTTCGTTTCAGAGTTCACAAGAAAACATCTCATTAGTACCTTACCATAAAAATTGGGCATAGATGTTCAAAACATAAAACTGGTTGTGATTTGCCTACAGTTTATTGTGCCTGTTACAAGCCTAAATGTGCTTGAATGTAAGATGCAACTGCCTGTTATAGGCAACTGACAACCTCACTTTGTATGTTTAAGTATGTCATAACAGAACTTGTCCACTTCAGAATACACTGAGAATGTGAAAAATACAAACAAAACACTATACAACCAGGCAGTAAATTGAAATACTTCATTGAGCTTCCTTTTTTGTGTGAGATGGTGCACTTCAGTATCGGCCTGTTATAGCTCTGTACAAGCTTTTTAGCTAGAAAGATTGCCAATGAAACATTCTGGGCTGTCTTGCGATTTATGATTTTTCAGTGTCTACTACTCTACTAGTTACTTGAGCATGCTGGCCTCAGTGCCTGTGTGCCTCACTTCCTGCCTACTGAAGTTACTCTTGGTTAAATGAATCAACTAGAAAAAAAAATCACAGCATATACATGGAGTGAATGATGATGAGTGGGACGAAGCTTCGAAAGGTTTTATTGGTAAATTGTCAATTCTCTGTCCTTCCATCTGTCTGTCTGTCTGCCCATCTGTCGGTTCATCCATCCGCACCTGCTGAGTGAGTCATAGAACTAGGCGGTCACATACTAAGAGAGACATGTACAGACCCACAGCTTTAGGAGCTTTGCCCCTAAAAGGTTGGCACCCAAGACGGCAGTTTGAAAGCTGCAGCAAAGCTTGTAATGTCTTCCCAAAGACTTGTCTGTGTTAACAGTTGATATGTTTTCATACAGGCAATCTGCCATGCTGCATATCATGCCTGTACTTACTAGGAAATTTACTTGTCACTTGTGAAAGCTTTTGAGCTAATATGCTTGGGGAGGGCCGATGCTAGCAGGAAGAGAATCATATAGTTTATTTTTTTATTATACAAATGAGAAGAAGCAGAGTCTGTATTTCAATTCTCAGAGCTGTGTATGATGTGACCTGCTTCACAAGCCTAACTCATGACAGTGTTTCCTGCGCCACGGTTGCAAACTGCACTTGGGAGTAGCTGTAGTTTGTTTCTATTAACTGAAGTGCATTTTAACTGTGGTTCAGTGCATTGGTGTCATTAGGCTGTAAGGGCCGTAATAAGACAGGAGGGTCAGGTTGCTGTTCATGCACTCCCGATTGCCCTCTTGACCCTCTCACGGGACCCGAAAGAGACAAACGATTTTTCTCATATTAATAGGTCACTTTTTCATCCTTCCAAGATTACTAAATTTGGCGCAAGCAGACGCTTGGCAACCGAGGAAACGCACATAAAGAATAATACATGTGGAGACGCTACATCAAAATTTCTCCACCAGACCTCATGACGCAATGGATTTTGAACGTCATCTACAATGTACTGCACCTTTCCTAATCATTGAAAGTGAAGCTTGTTCTTTTCTGAGGTGGCCATAACTTGACGTACCAAATGTAAAAAAATTCTCTCAAGCCCATGTTGCTCAAATATGAAAAATACACTTTGAAATCTGGGACAGCACGTGTGAAGATTTCAGAAGGGGGGGGGGGGATTTAAAAATGAAACTTTGATGACGATTCTGTCCTTTTTAATAAACCTATGACAGCGACATTAATGGCATTAGTGTTTGTGGAGTACAATTTATCAAAATAACTCTGTTCATTTTTTGACCTATGTGTTCCTTTAACAGCAGAACTCTTCTGTGCCGGGTTTTCCTCCCGTCTGGCATCACCCAGAAGCAAAGTCTGGTCATGTGACCGAAGGGGAGACTGATATGGAATACTGAAGCTTAAGAAAGCAATGCTAATTTTTTGTAAAGGCCTATGTTAATTGCAATAAATCAAGGCAAGGTACCTGGTCTTATGAGGGGATTATGTAGAAAACACTGGGTGCACACCGGCAGCAATATTACGGGATGCGAAGCATTCACAGGTCACGTGGTCTTGTTTTGCCATCACGTGATCTTGTTTTGCGCACACTTATTTTGAATTAAGCGGTGGGTTCACGGCTTCACGTGATATTGCGAGCTATTCAAATACGGTCCTAGTCTGACAGCTTCAATGTGCAGAAAAATTCGACAGCATGGAAAAACACAATCTGACAAAAGGGAGGCGACACAGATGAGCGAAACTGGCTGAATTCTTTCTTTTGTGCACCGTGTTCACAGTGCGAAGAGAAGCAACCTGTAATAGGGGTACACCTGGTGCAAGCGGCGGCACACCCATTCCTGGTGACGGTGCAAGTGTCGGCCATCAACGTCTGGCACCTGGAAGGGGAACGCAGTTGGCGGCACAGCATGGTGATGAGAAGGTTAAAGGTGAGCGACACAGCACTTGTCCCATTGGTCCATGTGGGTTGTACCTGGCCTCCCATTGAATGATTGAATGAAATCTTACTTCGATAGTTCTGCATATAAGTTTGCAAAATTGGATGAAAAACTCTCAAGTATTCCTTATGGAATTTGCCTGGCACAACTTGAAGGCAAAAGCCATGGTCTTGTTTTTCTTCTCAGCCCTTCCCCACCTTTCCATACATCGCTTGGTTTTGCATTACCTTCATGAACAGCCGACCTTGGACCAAGCAACAACGTCATGGGATGACATCATAGTGATTTCATGATGACAGCACAAATTTTGGTAACCTCTGACATCATGATGACCTCATCTGGTGGCGTCATCCTGTGACGATCGTCTTTCACATCGGTCATGTTCACGCCATTTCCAAGGGATGCCTGTTCTATAGGGATGCGCTGTAAAGTTCAATAATAAAACTAGTTTATTCAAAGTTCTCACGCTACATGACTAGGCAAGGCCCTGCACATCTGACTTGAGAAGCAAGTCAGACGTGCAATGGCCCTAAGCAGCTCGTGCCACCGGGGACCCGAGCCCTTGAACGTTGCTCTTATAACATACCATCAGTTGCATAGCAACTGTACGGCATTTTTGAGACCGTTCGCTATTTTTGTTGGACGTCAGAGATGGTGCTCCTAAGCACGCTAAAGCAATAGGGTGACTCCCGACACTCCAGTTTCTACGGCGATGGTCAATAGTCGTGTTTGATGAGGCATTGAAGACTTTCACCATTAAAGTACTACTTGCCACCAGCGGGACCGCAACCTGCAACCTCCTCATGATGAACACAGCGCCCTACTATAGTGCTGCAGTGGTGGCTGTTTTTACCAGCTGTATTTTTTGGCACTACAGTATGCATAACCCCTGGAGTCGAAGCCCACGCCACTCATGTCCACGCTAGCTTATGTTGAATATTCTCTTTCATCCAATGGTGTCATATATGCAGACATTTCATGTATGCGAATATTTCAGAGAAGGTGACATGTGCTGTTGTAATCATCTCAGCAAAGCAGCATGGCTGATATAATTAGGTTACTGCCTTACGAAAAGTTAAGTAGCAGGTAAACGAACGACATGTGTACCCAGTGATGAGAACATTCCCAGCATGTTGCCTTTGAGATTTTTCATCTGGCTGTAAGCACTCTCGAAGGTCATATTGAGGAGTGACACATTGCAGGTCTTGCATTACTGTTGACAAACAGTGTTGCTATCATTTCTTGAGTTTTAAATGGCCATTTTTGCTAGCGTTTTGTGATAAACTTGCTTGTATATCTAGGAAGAGAAAAATTTTGTAGTTTAGTTGGTGCACACACAATGAGTAATTTAGAATTTTGATGGGGTATATAATTGAAGCGTTTAGTTCTCTAACATCTTAGAATGAATCAGCAAAGCCAGTATGCCAGTTGTAAATAATAGAAAAAGGTGTAGTATTTTGCCATGTTCTTATGCATACAGCAATTGACCTCAAGCCTGTTAGAGTAACAGAAACCGAAGGCAAGGAAATAGTCGAGAAGGGTGGTGTGCTGAGATCAGATTTGCAGGCATAGAATAGCTACGTTCCGTCCTCATTCACCCCACTACATACAGGGTACCCCAGCCAAGTCTAGTCAGAGTTTGAAAATATTCACGACGCAGCCATCTGGGGCAGTTTACGAAACAAGGTCGCAATGTGACCAAATGCAGCATCAGTGGCGAGAGAGGTGACATGCTTTTGTAGATGTGGCTCATTTTCGTGTGCGTTTCATCAACCTAGCCGAGAAACACTCAAGGTTAAAAGCTTTCGCTACGGGAAAACATCGTGTAGCGAGATGTTCATTGTTCAACCACCACTGATAATGAGTAAGATAGATTTATTTAGAGACGTACACAACATCTGCGAAATGTTAAGGGCAAAAGTAGCCTAGAATATACAGGGGTGGAAATGCTGCGCCAAATGCGCCATTCTGCGCCAATTTGACCTAGTGTGCCAGGCTGTGCATGAACAAAAATTTTTGTGATAGTTGTTGATTGGAAATGTAAACTGCTTAATCTAGCTGATCATTATCGTCGACCGAGCAACAGCAAGCGTTGGCTACACGAAGGACATGGCCGGATCCATATCCAGTGGACTTCCAATCACGTGATTCGGTTCATTAATGGGGCTTGCTATTGTGCGTCTCATTTCTGGTATAGCTGTGGTTTCCTGCAAACAATGGGGCGCCAACATGAGTAACTGTTACATATCAAGAAATGCAGTGAAACCTCGATAATTTGTACCAGCTGGCAACGGGGCATGATTATCGTGGTTACAAGTGCAAATGTGCGTTTCCTGGCGCGCCCCATGGCGACCAATTAAGAAATACAGTACCACAGCAGATGTTGGCAGCGACTGAAATGCCGACAGAACGAACACTGTTTTCTTCCTTCAATACATACGTGCACTTCTTTACTGCCATGTGATATACCACGCGACAACTGACAGTGGACTCAGATCATCTCCTGGTTAGTTGCATGCAGTGCGTCGCCTATGCTGCCCACGCCATCACCACCAGGCGGTTTACTGCACTAGCGTGCGGATTTGCTGCGTGAATCGCTCGCCTCCACTTCGCTCGAGAACAAGCACATATGAGCAGTGTGTTTAATTAGCATCAGGATTACAAATTTCCAAAAAGTGAAGTGCGCTGCAATTATCTATACTTTGTATGACACATCAGGTGTAACGTGGCGGAGGCTAGTGAGACTACTTGCAATAGATACTTCTATATTTTTACCACCCAGGATATATTTTTCTTTTGGTTTCAGGCTGAGTATAATATGAACACGTTTTCTATTTTTCTCTGTCACACACACACAACACACACCTTGTAGGTGGTAAGTCAGGTAAGCTCACTAGCCAGTACTGATCCTTTAGTGAAAACCTATCAAAATCTTTTACCAGAAATAATTTTGATTGACAGTGATGTTTGACCCTAGAAAGCTGCTCCAAAACTAACTTGCGCCGCTTCAAAACACACCTTTTGGTGCTCCAAACCTGCTCCAAGACTCGCTTTTTACTGCGCCTAAACTGCACCAAAAGAGCATTATTTCTCCTCCCTGAGCTGCTCTTAAACATTGAAGTCCACTTCCACCCCTGAAATATTTAAAATCAATTTTAAACTGCGGGCCGTGCCTGTAAGTGAGATGCGGAGCACTTCGCGACACTGACATCAATGCCGTGTCAGCATAAAGAAACCTACGTCACGAGCTTGTGTTGGCTGGTCAGTGTAGTGTCCGCTTGCGTGTGGTGCCCGTCATAGAGTTTCCTAAATAATACACTAGAGGGAACTCTGGTGTTAGTGTCTATGGGAGCTGCAATGCAAGGCGCATCAGCTGCATGGGAATGGTGGTTAGTACGCGGATTTGTCTAATTTTCGTACTTCTGACTCCGTGTGTATTCGTGTGGCTTGGAGCTGTTTTCTCACGAAATAAAAATCGACAAATGTTCAGCGATTGCGCTTCACCACCTTATTATTTTAGGCTTACCATTTTAAATATAACCACGAAGTTCAAAAGGGTTCGTTCTTTCCTTCTAAATTAAAGCAAAACACAGCAATAAACAATGCCACAAGTGCGATTCCCCGCCTGTAAGTACAAAGACTAGGCAAATACGTCTACTACCCATCATTCCCATGGTCGCTGAAAGATTGCAGCCCCAGTCTCTCCTCTAGTTAACTTTAGGAAACTCTATGGCGTTCGTGTCACTGTTTTGCGCAATCACATGGCCAGCTGTGTCTGCCTAGCCACCAGAACTGCTCCTGCCTAGCACAGTGTGACACTTCAACCTCGATATAACGAACCTGAAACAAAGTAAATGAAAAACAGTGTCGAAATAGTCGAAGTGTTACGAACATACCTTTATAATAAATTTTTTTGGTATAACGAACCCATTTTCCTGTAAGGTGCAACTTTGTTATAATGAGGTTTCAGTTGAGTTTAAACCGAAACTGCTACTGGGCATTCTCAAAACATCTGTAAATCAGTGATCGACATGCACTCGTGCAAGCAAGGCTTCTAGCCGTGATAAATGGGTCACTAGCTACCTATTGCAATAACAGAAAAGGGGGAGGGGGCAATATTTTTCTGTCAAGGCTACATGAAGACCACTGGGGAATGTCTCTGTCACACAGTAGGCACGAATGGGGCAGTTGATAAAGGTGGCATGGTAAGCATCTTTTGTGCATTTCAGTTTCCGGTGGAAGAGGACTATTGCCTTCTGAGCTGCGACGAGTGGACTGTCTTGCTGTACCTGAACGCCAGGGTGCCCCTGTACCTGTCGTGCCTGGAGTGGCGCACAGAGGACGCCCAAGAGAATGGCCAGCTGCTGCTCACCCTGGGCAGCCTCGACAGTGCAAAGTGAGTCTTGCCTGGAATCGCCTCCCACCCGCTTCTTGGTTATTGCGGCAACACCGGTGCGGAATACGAGGAACAGTTCTTCAAGGAGACACTAAAAAGGAAAACGATTTTTCAGTTATTAGTAAAATACAATTTCACTATACTAAAAAAAAAATGCCACTCTAACGGTGACATAACGCTTGGGAAAAAAAGGTACGGGTGAAGATGCTCCTTTGAGATTCCTGCGCCAAACACCGCGACGTCATGAATTTTTAACGTGTTCACTGGTCCCTATGTAGCATCTAATTGATGAAAATCAAGTACATTGTCATCTGTGGGTGCCATAGACTTAGCACAACAAGTTTAAAAGAAATTTTATGGAGGCAATGTTAGGAATATACAAAAAATAAATTTTGAAAATTTGGACATCACGCCTGGATATTTGGCGCAAGAATTAAAAATGAAACTTCAACCATGATTTTCTCTGCTAATAATGAAATTATGATTGTGAAGCATGTGGTATTAGAGTTCTCAGAGTGTGGCCTGTCAATGTAGGCCAAGTCATTGTTTCTCTTTAGTTTCAATTTAAGCTGTTAACCTATCAATCAGCTGATTCTTAATTTCAACTAGAACTGTAGGCTTGAGATATTGAATAAAATATAGCATGAATACCTCGGGGACTGGCAAAAGGGCATGAAGACGTGATAAATTGCCTCACCCAGTGATTCTAAAAAAACCGCGAAATTTCCCTTCTAAATGATGCAACGCTAATTGTTATACCACGTAACAGAAAGCCACAGCTAAAAGTGCAGTAAACGGATGTGTGCCTTAACTGTTTTGTACAAAAATATGTGAAGATTAGACTTCCTTAGAATGGATACAGCCTGATGAGACCAACAGAAGTCAAAAGAGGCACTTGTAATGTAAAAGGAAAAGTGTGCCAGGTTGCTTATGGCCTCAAAGGTTTGCATGCAGCATCTTGGAGATTATAGCGAGTTGATAGACAATGTTAAATTACTGGCATGGCATTCGTGCCTAGTTTGAGCTTGTCGTGGTGATACATAATTCTTGTGACTTCTGTAGCCTCGCAAGCATCGCCTCATTGTATCTGCAGTGCAGCACACATTCGTATGAAATGGTGCGGGTGAAAGTGGATGCGTAACCACCAATGAATGTTTTGAAGACCCCTTGTAACTGGTGGAAATAATGAGGGACTCATTCCAGTGTGAGAAAAAATAAAGGCGGGGGGGGGGGTATCATAATTTACCACGACTTGCAGCTTGAAGTAGGTGCCTTTTATTTCTTTGTAGCAGAAAATGATCAAACAAAAGTTTCACCTAGTTCGATTTGAACAGCTTGTCAATTAGCGATGTGGTCTGCAGGCACATTCCAGCTGTTTATAGCTCTTCTCACTCTTAAAATATGCAGACCTAGAAAAAGTATGTTTCCGTGTATGTCATAAAAAAATGTATCAATAGCTTTATAGTCTTCTCATAAAGAAAGGAAACGTAAGTCAGCTCCGTTGCAATGCAAAGGCAAAGCAAGCGAACTATCAGAAGGAGTCGCTGTTTGAGATGTAGTGTGCCTCAAAAGAACAGTTTCTTTGAGGATGGGTGATGAGACCGCTTGGATCCCTATTTGAGAACTACTGCGGTAGGACATTGTAGGCTAGTGGTCCTTAGCTGGGACCAATGAAAAGTTCGTATCATTCCAAAATTTTCATAAATTGTGATGGTATCCCCAGGGCTCTATTTTCTTTTCTGGAGGTCACTACAGTAAAGTTTTATTGAGTGGTGTGGTCAAGATTGCAGTTGTGCAAGGAAAAGCGGGTGGGTGCAGCAAGACTGTCAAAGCATAGCATGAGCTGGTTTGCCAACAGCAAAGACATTGCTGGGGAAGAAGTGTGGGAGAAATTCAACTTACGACTAGGCTTGTGCAAATAGTGAATTTTAGGTTCAAAGTGTATTCGGAGCAAATAAGGATTTTGGTCGAATAATTTCGAATCTAATTCAAATAGTATATATATCATATCGATGACATCCTACTGAATGAACTTCTTACCGCCTCATGAATCGATGTGGCGGTAACATGTTCATTTTAATCTTTCGTTACCACTGCGAAAATAGTTGTTTTTCAGTATGTCTCGGGTAGATCATTTTTGCCAGTTTGAAAAGTACTTCAGCACACATTGCAGCATACCTAGCTTTGCACAATGAAATGCTCTTTCCGAGAAATACATGTTATAGAGGTACAATATTATTTTAGAATGAATAAAAATGTGATAAGTGTGGAAGTTTCTGTTGCCAGCTGGTAAGCAGCACAATAAAATATATTCAAAAGAAAGAAAATTTCGAATATACATTTTTTGGATAATTGACCTAGGATAATATAAAAATAATAAATGTGGTATATTGTTTCTCTTCACATAGGCAATGAAGATTAGAACCGAGCTGCTGCTCCATTGCTTGTGTCATGCAGGTGAAGCATTGCATGTTTTTTTTTTGCGAGACACAAGTTTACTCATACACTCTTCTTAGTACTTTTTTTTTGTCTTGCAATAGGAGTCTAGGTGTTCCAATATAGATGGATACCCATGATGTGAATAATCCCTCTATAAATGAAATGTGCATTTCGCTATTTCATCTAGCGTCACCTCTTTCTATCTTCATCCGCATAGGTTGGCTTTCTAATATACGCATCCAAGTATGTTTCTTAGCATTTTTGCACATACTGTATTAAAAAAAGGACAATAATGCGCACAGCTCTAAAACATTTCGCACTGTTTCTTAGTCGGGCCAAGATAGGCTCCGGGGGCCTTCTTGTGATTAGGAGAAGTTCTCCAGCCTGCACCCGCACACCACGTCCCAGCGAAGTGTGGGCCACGAACGTAACCAGAGTAGCTATGAGATTGTCCAAAAGGTCAGAAGCTGTATGCAGCTGTGGGCGAGGAGACAACTTGAGGATGTAAATAAAACAAATCCATGAATGGCTGCGGATGTCTTAAGCTGACGCAAAAAATCGTGACCATAAAACTTGAAGCTGAGGTGCTGTCATCCTCGAACTCTAGGCTCGTCCTCACTCAGTTCAGGTGGGGTTGCAAGACAGCTTCGAGCAGCGGATGTGTTTTTCAGCGCTGATGCGCACCCATGCATGCATGACGACAACCTCATAGGAGCGACTAGTGACACTAGATGCGACCCTGTGTCTGATATAGCAATCCAAGCAAAACCAAAGCTACTGGAAACTGTCAGAGAAGGCCACTTCGACACTTTCAACACGCGGCGGACCTTCATAAATGTTTTTTGTAGAACAAATTTTCCCTGAATCCAAGGAATGGCTATCTATTGAATAGCTGGCATAAATTTCTGGCAAATATTAATGCTCAACATAGCGGAATTGCGAAGCCGACACTTTAATACAATATTTGGCTTGTAAAAATTATTTTCATTACAGAAGTTCGATGTTACTGTAGCACAATCGCAAGGGGCACTCTCCTATCAAGTTCGCCAGTCTAGTGAATTTTTCCAATAATACACCCACATTTGTTCACGCAAAGGTCTTTCAGAAATCACTATGTTGCCAAAACGCGCAAATGAAAATTGATTCTGAAAGTTGAGTGGCCGTTTTAACTACAAGAAAGTGCTGGGTGCATGAGAAACAAATTTACAATGCCAGAACTGATGGTCCAAAGGCGACAATTACCGGTGATCGATTTGAATGGGCATGGTAACGAAAGAGTTAACCTCGAAAAGGGGTTTTGCGACAATCGATTTTTTTTTTGGTAGCTGTTTTCACTGCGTATCACACCTTCATTGTATTGAAACCACCTTTGCAGGGGTTATATGCCTGCTAATATACATTTATTTTTTCAGTCTGAAATACTTCAAAGTTTTCAGTAATTTAAATAAAATCAAAGCACTTTTGATTGCTGTTATATTTGTTGGAATATTCAAAGCAATTGAATATTTGCACAAGCCTACTTACGATGTTTCGGGCTCCATGAGACAGCATACAGAGACGCTGAGCTTATACTTCTGGTCACAATCTGACGTGCAAGGTGTGAGCTAGTGTGATGCTTTGTGTTATAGAGATCAAACTGGAGAATACAAGCAGATTGGGTGAGTTGGTGGGTTTCCATGATCAGTGCTGCATGTGTCTCATCTCTCCTGTGTCTCAGCGCTGTTTTATATTTTTATTAGAGAGATCACTGTGTCACACCAATATAGATAGCTGGGTCACTTCAAGGTGAAGCATGGTGAATCTTGTGGTGCATGAGAAAGACAGAGACAAAGAAAAAATTGATGGGGCAAAGTGCCGTTGTCTCTTTCTTTGGACGCGTCTTTTTCATGCACTTGATGTTTCACTATGTGCAGGGGTGTAAGTGCTGCGCCATTCTGCGCCAATTCGGCCTGCTGTACCAAGCTGTGCCCGAACGGCAATCTGCGTGCGCAACGCCAAAGTTAGTTGAGTTTTATCATCGACTGAGCGACACGTATGGGCTACATGAAAGACGTAACCGTGTCCTTATCAAATTAGTTCGGTCACGTTGCACTTTGGTTCATGCATGAATCTTGTTTTGGTGGCGTTTGTGTGCATACCTCATAATGCGACTTTATTTATGTTTTAACAGCAAAGATATTAGCCGAACCATACAAACAGAAAAGAAATCAATTTCACCTGTGAAGCGATGAGAGCAATAGGAAGAATTGGTAATTTTGTAATGGTAATGCCGCACGCACTGTTTTATTCCTGTTTTTGCTGCCGCATCATTATGCGTGTAACTCTGTCCTGCATAAACGGCACCCGAATGACTGGGAACATTCTAGATAATCTTAGAACCTTCCGATGAGATTACGTGCATAACGCGTACATTAGAGCTTGTTCTGCAACTTACGCAGCCGCTAGCGATAATGCTGGAATCTTCGATGACACATGTAGAAATGCTGACGCACTTTGCTGCATGGCAGATTATCAACGGACGATGTTGTGTTTGCTGCTGTCGGCCTCCACGTATGACAACA